GGCAGGCTCAGCCCCCACAGCCACCCCTCGCTCCCAGATGTTAACTTCCATCCCAGCAGCCTTAGCTGAGGAATGAGCCACACCCAGACAGACAGGGGTCAGGGACATGCCCTCCAGGGGCCCACAAAGTTCAACACTCCCCAGTCAGTCAGAGTCTCACTCCATTTGCAGAGGGTCCACTTGGGGGAGATGGGGAAGACAAGAAACCAGCTCAAACAGGGGGTGCAGACCAGCCCCGCAGGGAGAAACCAGGCTGGCAACCTGAGGACCCTCACACTAAGGCGGAGGGGTCACGATTTGGGTGGGACAATTCTAGCCCCATCGAGCAGATAACAAAACTGAGGCTCCAAGCAGCTGAGCAGGATTTGGACCCTGCGTTTGAATCCAATCCCAAGCCACGGAGAACTCCACCAACCACCAGAAGGTCTCTCCCCAACCCCCAAGCTCCACTGTGAGGGGGTTCCTGCCCCAGCCACTAAACAGGGACAACAGAACCCAGACCACTGCTTCTGCGGGACACCTGTCCTACATGCCATTGCCTCTATTTTACAAAACGTTAACTCGTCCTAGCCCCACAAGCAAGCCCAAAAGGTACTATTATTTCCACTTTACAGAGGAAGCAGTGAGACTCAAGGTCACACAGAGGGCAAGCAGCTCCCCAAATGACCCCCCAGCTGCTCTCCTGCCGTAAGCCCAGCTTTCGGCCCATTCTCCGGATGGGGAGGGCGAGGCGCAGGACCTGGCTCTCCCACCAAGGCCACAAGGGGAGCACATGGTGGGCACTCCCCCTAATTTAGAAGACCCACCCTTGGGCCTGCCTGGTTCACACCCAGTCACTCAGGGGACCCCACATTTCCTCCAACTCCTTGGTGGGCGGGGCCTGCCCCAGATCCCCTGGGGAGTCCTCAGAGGATAGGTCTGCCCAGCACGGCACCCCTAGGGGACACCAAAGCCCCCTGGGGACCCCCCGGGGGACAGGGCCCGCCCCTGGGACGGAGAAAAGGAGAGGTGGCTTTGGGTAAGTCCCCAGCCTCGGTCAGACCCCCCAGGACTCCCCAGGCACTGGGTCCCCACATTCCCTTAGGGGGCGGGACTTACCCGGCCCCTTTGCCCTCAGTCTGCAGTGAAGTCCGGGCCCCACCTGGAGCCCATATATTCCCTCTGGTTCCCCAAGACCTCCCGGCTCCTCCTCCCCCACAGCCCCCCGGGAAGACCAGGCTCCCGCCCGAGTCATCGGGGTGCGGAGCCAACTGAGAGCGCCCCAAATTCCCACCTGACCCGCGAGGCACCAGCCACCTCCCCTCGGAACCCCACCCCGGCTCGGGTAGGAGACGGCGCCTTTCTGCCCAATCCCCGCCCCGCCCCGCCCCCGAACTCCCCAGGACTCGGCACGCGACCCGCGCAAAGTTCCACGGAGAACTGGCCACGCGAGTTGCCCAGGGACCCCCCGCCCCCCGCAGGCCCCTCCGCCAGCCTGAGCTTCCCAGTCTCTTCGGAGGCCAGGGAGCCGCCCCCAAATTTTCTCCCAGGACGCCCGAACACCCCAACGCACCCGGGGAGCTCCCCGTACCCCCCTCTGGGGAGGGGCCTCGCCTTGTGCACACCCAGTCACCCCGGGGACCCCAGATCTCCCCAAACCCTTGGTGGGCGGGGCCTGCCCATCGCCACCTGTCGCGCAGCGGGGGGTGGACCCAGATCCCCTGGGGAGCCCTCAGAGGTGAGGTCGGCCCAACACGGCACCCCTAGGGGGCACCCAAAG